TACTGTACAGAGCAATAGCTATATATTTCACTTGAATAGAATGTTTATATTAGTAAAGCCGCAATTACATCGATAACTAACTAACTGCTATTTGTTATTAGTATACAACTGAAAGATATATTGGATACTATCCCAAAGAATAGGCGCAACAAGTATTTTATAACTTGCTGGCATTTGCCGCTTTTACAAAATTATTTTGATACTAATTGTTCTTATTACCTTTTCTCAGGCGATGTCCTTTACATTCTCTAGATAGCCATAAATATCGTTCGTCTGGGATTTGGATTGATGTTTGGATTTCGCTTTCACAGGAGTGTAGAGAAGAAGTTAGACATTTCATCTCACTAATATAACTAATTTTTTCAACCACTAATATACCATTTATTGCTATTTTTACATAGATTGTCACAATAGATTCTCAACTACTACTAGGGACAACAGAGAATTATCTTAGAAAACATAAGTATGATGATATACCATTTATTGCTATTTTTACATAGATTGTCACAATAGATTCTCAATTACTACTAGGGACAACAGAGAATTATCTTATAAAACATAAGTATGATGATGTATTATCAGTTAACTAATACTACAATCTTGGTACCTATTGTATAGATTTTGTTCGGAGTGCAGAGCAAAAGTTATACGTGCATTTGCTATACTATTAGGAGAATTGGACATTATTGCGGAAAAAGAGTGCGTAAACAATTATATTCCATTTAGCAGTTTAAAGTATTAAAGTACTGTTTTAAAATTGTTCAGATATCGGAAAGATCTATACGATGGCATTGGTTGTTGCTGCAATGAGCATTGCAGGTGTATAAAAGTGCGTTGTGATACAGATTTTATTGCCCATCTGATCGATAGAGCTGAGCCCGAGATATCAGGAAGGTAACTTGTGATGTATGATAGTAGGTTTAGGTCGCTAATTGATCTACAATGATTAGGGTACTCATAGTATCCTTTATTAGTCGTAGGGAGCATCATGCAAAGTCGATGGAGGCGGCTCAAGAAGAGGTTAACAGTTTATCATCTAGCGCTACGTGAAGTAATTTTTACCAAATGCTGTTACCAAACCGTAAATTTATATTATTGTTTAACGAATTTTAGATATTAACCTGTATTGGAATTCACTTGTGGGAGCGATTACATAGATTATGGCAAAAGTTGCGTACTGAAGAACAAACGTGGATTATGTTATTTTACTTATGTATTGAATCACTAAGGAGGAAAAGCGAGGTTTGTAATTATAAACGAAAGCATCAACTATATTTAGTATCGTTACTTTTATGATCTGCTGGGGCTTAAGTATAATATTTTACCGTCGTAGATTGTATTACGCGGAGGAGAAGGTGAAACACGTTTAGAAAAGATATTACAAGAATTTTCAGAAGCAGACAAAGCTAAAGAAACCAAACGAGAGCAAAAACGCCTTAAGCGAAAGAAACGCAGAACTAAAGGTATATTAATGAAAGTTCCTCCTTTTAGGATACGCTAGTAAGGCTTCAGTCTTAATTAAGCATGGATATTTTCGTCTTAAAGAAATTACCGACGGTATACCTTGTAAAGCTGGAATTGATTGTCGAGCCAATACCCCTACGTTCATTGAGAGCGAGTATAATGATTCCAATTTGAAAAGTAGTGATAGTTGCCACTGTTTG